GGTGGCTTTAGACTCGAAGCTGCGGAAGAAGGGCCGCGAGCTCGGCCGTGCTCCGATGGCCTGATACGTACTGCGAGACGCATTCATGAAGCTCCACTGCCCTGACTCGTCGAGTGAGTAGTAGAGTTTGTGACATTTCATTGCTCGGTGCTGGTTGAGGTGATGGTCGAAGGCAGCGTCGAAACCAGCGGGATGACGCGACGGTAGGATAGGGGAGGGAAATACTCGCCGTGTCGTACCCCGTCGTGCGCTCTCTTTTCTCCCTGGCAGTCGCTCTCCCTTCCTCTCGTAATGCGATCATCCGCGAGAGTGGCCTCTTCGCGGAAACGTCGTAATGAATTGTCTGCTCGACGACGACGGTGACCGCACGATGACGACGACGACGACGACGACGACCAAGACAACCAAGACAACCAAGACGAGGACGATGACAATGGCAAGCGAGTCCACGTCCTCGAAAACGGACGACCGTCAGTGGCGCGACATCACCAGGAACGTCGTGCTGCGATCGTCTCTCCTTCGTGGCGGCCGTTAAATCGGCGTGGGTCGATCGAGAGCCGGGGAGAGTAGGGAGAGGAGGAGGCGATTTTTAGCCGGCGGAGGGAACGGCGGGAAAGAGAAAGAGAGAAAGAGCGAGAGAGAGAGAGAGAGAGAGAGAACGCGCGTTTCCTCCTCGAGGCCGATTAACAGTTGGCCCGAGGGACGCGAAACGATCGAGTCGGTTTCTTCGGTGCAGTTGCGAGCCTCGGCCTCGGCCGAGGCGCAATAAATATCGACCACGGGAGTGGAGGCTTAGCGATGCGAAAAGTGGACCATTCGATCGGGCCACGTCATATCTCCTAGCACCCGGCATCGTCGTCAAAAAGGCGCGAGATGCATTACGATCGTGACATGTGCACGTTCCCGGGGGGATGACTCGTGCGCTTCCAATTATTAGCGCGCGAAGCCCCCCGGGGGTCAGGTTTGCGCCCAGACTATCGTAGTAGGTTCTTCGCGATTTAGACGGAACGTTAAATTAGTGCGGTGAGGCTGACGTCGGTTCTCGGAATCATGTCGAAAAAATGCTGGGGCGGGGGTTGAAGAAACATTGGTATAAGGGTGCGACTATAGCAGCGCGGCAACGCTACAAAATATAGCATTTCGGAATGTCGGTATATATAGGGGAAATGTATAATATCAATTCTCTATAGTTCCTGTCATATTGAACTATGACCAACGGTTTATCTATAGTAGTGCTACAAGTATCAGTAGTAACGTGGATCTCACGGCATTTCGATATGCATATTGATGAACGTTTCGGAATTGCTGATACATGGTAGTACGATGATGCATTTATGGCAGTGCCAACGCAGTGATAGTGTAAGGTGATAGTGCTCATGCGACGCATTGCACTTTTCGGATGTCCTACCGCACTGTTAACGCAGTATTAATATATTAAGGTACGTGTCTACATCAGTAACCTTTCACCATAATTATTAGGTGTTAAACTTAATTCCTGCCGTTTTTCGTCTCCAAAATTGATTTGTTTCGAAGGGAAATACCTTAATCAAAGTATTATTAATTAGTAATAAAGTAGAAAATGGAGGAAATTATTTTGTTTAAGGTATTCATTCATCTTCCCTTCGAAACAAATCAATTTTGGAGACGAAAAACGGCAGGAATTAAGTTTAACACCTAATATTTCTAGCTAAAAATATACATATACCTATCTCAAAAAATATCAACAATAACTATCTATTACGATTGGCAAACCGTAAACATTCGAACTTTTTTTTTAGAGACACGTTAAAATGTTCCCAAGTACGTGGAAAATTTCGACAATATGGAAATTGTGTGTGAGCGATTTATCGCGTTTCATCAGCTTTTCATTGTCTATTATGCCTTATTTGCATGCTGAATATATAGCTCGTTCGTATCGTTTCGTATTCCTAGAAATCTAATAATCTGATAGATTGTGTCAAGGCAAATTTGGCCGATTGACATCGTGATGTAATAAATGACAATTAAACCGGTAAATATCCTAAAAATGTTAATTGATTTTTTTTCACTGTGCAAGCGCGCCTTAATTTGTTAGTATCGTCACGATAACATCGATGGAGCGATGATAATTGGGATTTGCGTTATCGTACAATATCGATGAGCCTGTTTTGGAATCCACCTGTCTGCTGCGTGACTTTTCAAGGGCTGATGATTCATGCTTGATTAAGCGCGCGATCCGTTATTAAGGAATAACTACTAACCGAATTTCATTTTTGCTTGCGTTTCTGCGTTTAAAGGTTATGGCATACAAAATAACTAAGACGTAAGCAGTAAGCAAATCAACATTTTGGATTTTGCACAAAAAGATTTTCGTGAAGCATCTAAAAATTTAGCTAAATATGGATCTGAAAATAATTTTGTTGAATCATTAAAATACATACATATGTGTGATGCCCAAACTGAAGTTGCTGGAATGTCAAAATTTTTCAACATTGTTCATCATGCTTGTTATTTTGATCCAATAAAATTATTTTTAGATCCGTATTTGGCTAAATTTTCCAAATGTTCTAACAAAATCTTTTTTTTCGTATACTGTTTACGTCATTGCCTTAGGTTCTCTACTGTGATTGGCCAATTCGCTTACTGTTTACGTTTTACTGCTTTATGATTTTCTGTGTGCCATGGGCTTAAAGACTTATTTATCTAGTAGTTTATCTCAGAATTAAATTTGTGATAATTGAAGAGAAGTTGTAACTCACAGGAGTTGTAAATGTAACGTCACGACTGTTTACAATTTGAACTCACATATGCAACGTGAATAATTTTCATGCAATCTGTGAAATGAGAATTAGTGACGAGAAAGTTGTAATACAGAGGATTAAAATGATTAGGTCTTCACGGTTAGTCAAGGTTGCTTACTGGATATCACAAACAACTCTCAAAGGTATTTCGCATATCACGCAAAGATCCACAGATCTACCGTATCACGATTTTATTCGTAAAACCGAAGAAATGACATTCTCTATTCTTCTCTAATCGCTATTAATTTGGAGTTAATGGCGGGTGCACCTATTGAACCCACTCACTTATAAGTCTCTTTATCAAAAGTGTCAAACAATTAAATTTTCTTTATGTTACATCTACAAATTTGGATTATTCTTATAAAAATATATTTACAATCGTTTATTCTTTCTTATATAATTATGTCGTTTTGGTTTCTTGAAATTGATTAGTGTGCTTTTTAATTAACACAAGTTACATCTTACAGATGTTACGTCAGTAACTATGTTACAGATTTTGGCATCAGCGCCGGGGGTTAAGAATGAAAATGTACAATAATAAGATATTCCAGACCGCTATATGAATAAATCGGAATAAATCAAATACACTTAAATTCATAGTGTCAAATTTAACCTAATGTGAGTCACTGCTGCTCCTACTAAACATATCGATATTTTATACTAAGGCCCAGTTTCACAACTCATGGTTAACTCTTAACCGAGGTTCAACTTATTCATTATTTCTTTCCAATTCTAGAATTGGAAAGAAATGAGAAACAGGTTGAACCTTGGTTAAGAGTTAACCGTCAGTTGTGGAACTGGGCCTAAAACGATAAATTTGACACTATATAGTGTCAAAGTGACACTGTATAGTGTCAAATATCACCATTCTTTAGTATAAAATAACGATATAATTGAGAGTAGGAGCAGTGGCTTAAGTTAAATTTGACACTATAGATTTAACAGTATAAGTAGAAAAGGGCGCTAATAGATTAGATCTAAGATAATATTTTTAAATGTAAATTTTATCTTTCAGTTATAAACTACGCGCCGCTTACTATCGGATTTAAAACGCAATCATAAACTGAAGTTAAATAATAATATCACAATTAAATTCAACATCGATTCGATAATAATGCTACTAGTATTTTAAAAACTTGTAAAGAATTTATTGCGAGAAATATTACTTCAACCAGGATTAGAATCTCTCGACTATCCGGAAGAAATGTCTTTTCCCATTCAACCACTGAAGCATGTAATAATATTTACTATTATTCAACCACTGAAGCATGTAGTAATATTTATTATTATTATTCAACCATTGAAGCATGTAGTAATATTTATTATTATTATTATATATCATTAACATATCAACGATCAATATTAATAAGCACTAATTTAGCCTCGACCGTATTAGACCTTTCTTTACTCATTTAAAGATGTACAACTCTATCGCAAATTTAATTGTGAGATCAACTACTCAAGATGATTTTTTATAAGTTGATTAACTTGTTAGACTTAATCTGATATTTTATTCAATGGGCTTCATCTATGATGATGTCGTGAATGAAGCTCATTGAGTAAAACATCAGGTTAAGTTTAACCACAAATTAACTAGATAATGAAAAATCGGGCCCAAGTATCTTTAAACGTCGAAATTAGAAACGTAATTAGAAATTTGATAGCCATCCCTTAATAACGGACCGCGCACTTAATCAGCCCTTGAAAAGTCACGTGTAATTGAAACAGAATACGACGACACGATTTAAAATACATATTGCGCGATCATGTAACTGCACATCTGCATTCTATGATCGACTCAAGCAGCTCGATTGCTGCTTTTACCGGCATAGAGTTGCGCGGTATGAAAATTCAATTAAAATTTCCATCTATCATACCTATTGTTCCGCAAGGCGCGAGATTGGACGCTTTCGACTGATTGTAAGTCCTGATTTCGCGTTTTATTTACCGACGTGGCATCGTATGGCGACCCGGGAGTCGTGGACTAAAATTGCGTCGTCTCCACGGAACCGTTCGTTCAATCAATTTAGGAGTTATTTCGGGGTAACACTCACCCCCGGGTTCGTTACTTGGGAAAACTAACCGATTATATCGCGTCTGCAGGAAACAAAGGAAACAAACTGTATTTATTTTTATTCGTTTTCAGGGTTGTCACAGATCTGGAAAACCGGGAAAACCGGGAAAAGTGAGGAAAATTGAAATTGGTCATAGAAAACTGGGAAAAATCAGGGGAAAATGTAAAAAAGCCTGGAATTTTGAAATTTGCTCACAATTTCCTTAAATTGCTCCTATTCCAGATAATTATTATAATTTTTTAATATTAATCTGACGTT